TTAGCTGGAACGACTTTTGTATCTTCTGCAGCCGCTTGCTGAGGTACTCCACAGAGGTAGCAATATTACGCTCTAATAGAAGCAATATTTATTGATCTACTAAATTGGATATGATAGAAAAACTCAAGAACTACAAAATGATACCAATTGGAATGCTGTACCTTGTCTATACACAAAGATACACACCAGAAACCGTCTGCGCTACGCTGTCACATCTGTATAGCTTGTAACTTTGTTCATTGACAAACTACAGTATTTCAAGAAATGTCACTTTCTAGAGTTTTACATTATCCGATTCAGTTGGTTCCAAAATATGGGTCATTGAAAAAACTTAGCAGTTTTTGGCTCGTCTAGCCCATTCCCACATTTTGAGATTCTGAAAATTCGAAATTTCAGAATGTCAAAAATTCTAAGAAGTTTCTCGTAAAAACAAAAAAATTGTAGAATCTGAAACTTTTTCCAGAAAAAAAAACCTGAAAATCTGAAAAAAAATCGATTTTCCCCATTTTCCGGTGCACATTTTTCCACAAAAAAGTCAACTGACCAAAGAGAGAGAGAGAGTGAGAGACGCAGAAAACTTTTCACATGATTCTCTTTTTTTTTCTTCTCTGCGTCTCCCACTCTCTCTCTCATTTTTCTTATCTGGAAAAAAAAACGCTCCGCCCCCCCCCCTTTTTTTCCACTTTCCGAACGAGAAAACTGCGCGTGCAGCGAGAGAGAACTGAAAATTGAGAGACGCAGAGAAAAACAGAGAGCACAAGATGAGACTTTTTTTTCGTTGCTTTTTTTTGCTCTGGAAAATTCCAAGGGACCTGAAAAAAAGGAGCGAAAATAGCAACAAGTTGAAAATGGGGTTGTCTGAAAATGGCTGAAAATACTGAGAAAAGAATAGATATTTATTTTTCTATTTAACACCTTTTTTCTAGCTACTGTAGTTTTTGAGTTACGCGCCTTTAAAGATTGAGGATCCGCAGGAGGAGAGGGGCAACCCATTTTTAAAGGCGCATATCTCAAAAACTACGGAAGCTAGGGTGAAATTGTCAACTAAAAAAGTTAAGCTCTATTTTTGTTTAATACTTTTGTAGTTAGCACCTTTTTTCTAGTTACAGTAGTTTTTGAGCTATGCGTCTTTAAAAATGGGGCACCACTCCACCTCTCCTTGCCGCTCCTCATGCTGTGAGCGCGCGCGCGCAATCTTCAAAGGCGCATAACTCAAAAACTACAGTAGCAAGAAAAACGTTATCGACTACAAAAATGTAGAGCATAAAAAGCGCTACAAAATGATATACAAATCAAGACCGATTTTCAAACTGTCGGGTTACTGTAGAACTGCAAAAATACTTAAATGTCCTTTCTCTCTCATTGCTATTCTATGCGTTTTTTCTTCTTTTTTTTTGAATCCTTCTTCTTCCTTTTCCATCGAGTATTTATGGAAAAGAAGAAGACTTTTTTGTTTCTTTTTCCCAATTTTTTATGGAAAAAGAGAGATAGAGAAGGGGAAGAGAGACGCAGAGAAAAAAGAGAAAAAAAAGAAAACGAGTGCTGAAAATTTTGGAAAAATGGGAAAAACAAGGGGGAACAAGATGGAAAAATAAGATAGAAGAAATTGAAATTGAACGCAAATCCTAGAAAAAATGTTTAATTCAAAAATCCAGGAATTCAGAAACTCAGAAATTCAGAAATTCAGAAATTCAGAAATTCAGAAATTCAGAAATTCAGAAATTCAGAAATTCAGAAATTCAGAAATTCAGAAATTCAGAAATTCAGAAATTCAGAAATTCAGAAATTCAGAAATACAGAAATTCAGAAACTCAGAAACTCAGAAATTCAGAAACTCAGAAACTCAGAAATTCAGAAATTCAGAAATTCAGAAATTCAGAAATTCAGAAATACAGAAATTCAGAAACTCAGAAACTCAGAAATTCAGAAATTCAGAATTTCAGAAATTCAGAAATTCAGAAATTCAGAAATTCAGAAATTCAGAAATTCAGAAATACAGAAATTCAGAAACTCAGAAACTCAGAAATTCAGAAACTCAGAAACTCAGAAATTCAGAAATTCAGAAATTCAGAAATTCAGAAATTCAGAAATTCAGAAATTCAGAAATTCAGAAATTCAGAAATTCAGAAATTCAGAAATTCAGAAATTCAGAAATTCAGAAATTCAGAAATTCAGAAATTCAGAAATTCAGAAATTCAGAAATTCAGAAATTCAGAAATACAGAAATTCAGAAACTCAGAAACTCAGAAATTCAGAAACTCAGAAACTCAGAAATTCAGAAATTCAGAAATTCAGAAATTCAGAAATTCAGAAATTCAGAAATACAGAAATTCAGAAACTCAGAAACTCAGAAATTCAGAAATTCAGAATTTCAGAAATTCAGAAATTCAGAAATTCAGAAATTCAGAAATTCAGAAATTCAGAAATTCAGAAATTCAGCAGAAATACAGAAATTCAGAAACTCAGAAATTCAGAAATTCAGAAATTCAGAAATTCGCAAATTCAGAAATTCAAAAATTCAGAAATTCAGAAATTCGGAAATTCGGAAATTCAGAAATTCAGAAATTTAGAAATTCAGAATCTCAGAAATGCAGAAATTCAGAACTTCAGAAATTCAGGAATACAGAAATTCAGTATTTTCAATACTTTTTTCTTCAATTCTTGTCTTCTCTGGAACGGAAATAATCAATCTAAATCACGTTATCTCTCTTATCAAAAATTTCCAAATTTAGAAAAATCTCCGATTTTTCTTCCCCAATCAATCAATTTGGCGATTTCCTCCTTTCATTCTGTCGAAATCAAAGATATCAGAAATCAATCAATTTGATTGATTTCCGCAAAATGTTCATCTTTTCACACCTTCTGTTGGTGGTTAGATTTTTGAAGTTTTCCAAAAGAAAGGAACAAAATTTTTTTTTCAAAAAAAAAACATTTTTTTCATTGTTTCAAAAAAGTACTTCAAAATCTTCAGATTTGTTTGAAATTTTCAGAAAATACTAAACAATAATAGAGCTTCAATTTTTTAGTGAACAACTTTTTTTAGCTACTGTAGTTTTTGAGATATGCGCCTTTAAAGTTAGTCTACCCCGTAACATCCTCCTCCTCAACGCACACAAGTTTCGCAACTTTAAAGGCGCATAACTCAAAAACTACAGTAGCTAGGGAAAACACTTTAACTACAAAAATAAAGCTCTCTTTTTGTTTGATATTTTTGTAGTTGACGATTTCTTCCTAGCTACCGTAGTTTTCGAGTTATGCGCTTTCAATGTTGGTCTACCTCGTCGCCCTCTCCTCATCTACTCTAGCGCGGGCCCTAGAACTTTAAAGGCGGATAAATCAAAAACTACAGTAGCTAGAAAAAATTTGCTAACAGCAAAAATGAAGCTCGATCCTTGTTTCATGATTGTCTGAAATTTTCAGACAAATCCAAAAAGTTTAAGCTATTTTTGTGGGCATCTGAAAATCTTTTTTTTTCAATTTTCAGGCCAAAAATCATTGTATGTACACAGACACTCTAGACTATATGGTATTGTTTTCTTTTTTCAAAAATGAGAGAGAGAGAGTATAGAAAAATGAGAGACGCAGAGAAAAGAGGCTCAACACCTCTCGTCGGTGGGGGTTCTGAGCAAACATTTTGGGGGCTCTTTTCTTTTCAGAAAAAAAACGATTTTCGCGCATATTTTGCCACGTCACAAGGTTTTTTTCGTTCGAGTGAGGCACCAAACAAAACTAGGTGGGCTTTTTGAGGAATTTCAGAACTTGAAATTCAAAAACCTGAAATTCGGAAATTTTCACAAGTTCTGAAAATTCTGTAAAATTCGAGAAAAATCCGAGATTCGAAAGTTTTAGAAAATCTGAAAAATCGCAGAATTTTAAATTTCCCGAAAAATTCCTAGAAATTCGGAAATTCAAAAATTTTGCTAAAATTCCAAATTTTTAGATTCGCAAAAAGGGATTTTCAGAAATTTGAGAAAAACTAAAAAAAGCTCGAATATTCTGAAAATCCAAGATTTTTAGAAATTCAGAATTTGAAAAAATCCAATTTTCGGAAGAATTCCGATTTTCCAAAGTTGGAAAATTCCAAAATCTAAATTTTAGAAAAATCTGAAAATCAAGAAGTTTGAAGTTCTACAAATTTAGAAATTCAGAAATTCAGAAATTTAGAAATTCAGAAATTCAGAAATTTAGAAATTCAGAAACTCAGAAATTCAGAAATTCAGAAATTTGGAAATTCAGAATCTCAGAAATGCAGAAATTAAGAAATTCAGAAATACAGAAATTCAGATATTCAGAAATTCAGAAATTCAGAAATTCAGAAATTCAGAAAATCAGAAAATCAGAAATTCAGAAATTTAGAAATTCAGAAATTCAGAAATTCAGATATTCAGAAATTCAGAAATTCAGAAATTCAGAAATTCAGAAAATCAGAAAATCAGAAATTCAGAAATTTAGAAATTCAGAAATTCAGAAATTTAGAAATTCAGAAATTCAGAAATTTCAGCCAAAAAATTCCAAAATTCTGAAAAACCTCAAAAATTTCGAATAAAAAACTTTTTTGAAAAAAATTCATTTTTCAAAGCAAAAAGTGAAATTTATATGCTCAAAAAAAAAAGTCCCGTACCACATATAGAAAAATTGGAATTTTCAGATAATTTTCAGACAGAGCCTATGGCACACAACAAAAAAAGGGGCGGAGTTTAGGGAAAGAAAAAGGGGGCGGGGCGTAATTTGGGGGTTAAAAAATGGTATATGAAAAAAATGGGAAAATTTTGAAAAATTCGAAAAAAAAATTTTTTTTTTCAAATTTTTGAATTTTTGAGCTAAACTTTTCAGACAAATCAATTTTTTAAACTAATTTTGAGCTTATTTGAGTGTTAATTTCTCAAAAAAAATTCGAATTTTTCTTTTAAAAAATTTTTCAAAAAATCAATGTTTCGGGGTCAAATTTTGTGAATTTTTCAGTTAAATCGATACAAAAATCAATGGGATTTTCAAGAAAATCAATAAGTCGGTTGTTGTGGATAGTTATTTGGTGGATAGTAATTGGACCCCTGAGGGTATCCCTGCTGTGGCTGATAACCGCCCAGCTGATGTTGTGGCTGCTGATAATAGCCCTGTTGTTGTTGTGGCGGATAGTTTTGCATTTGATAGTTCTGCTGTTGAGAGTAGTCGTCTGGAACAAAAATTTCAAAAAATTTTCAAAATTTTTGGAAATTTTTGAAAAATTTTTTTTTTCAAAATTAATTTTTTTTTTTTTTGAAATTCCGGGTTTTTTTTTTCAATTTCAGCTAGTAAAAACTAGTTGAAATTGCTGAAAATCAGTTCGATATTGATCTAAAATCATTTAAGAACGTTTTTGAAAAAATTCAAAAAAACATTTTTTTAGAATTTTTCGATTTTTCAAATTTATTGATTTTGACAATTTTCGAAAAAAAATTTTTTTTCGAAAACTTGAATTTTTCTTAAAATTTCAAAATTTTCAAAGTTCACAAAAACGGGCGGAGCCTAAATTTTCAGAATTTTTCGAGGCTGAAATTCATGTCTTAAAAATGTTTTTCATATTTCTGAATTTTGGAAATTTCGAAAAAAATTTCAAAAATTTTTTTTTTCGAACATTTTGAAAATTTTCAAAAATCGAAATTTTTAGAAAAAAAGTGGGCGGAGCCTGAATTTTCGGATGTTTTTTTTCAAATTTTTTTTCTTCTTTTTTAGTCAAAATGCATTCAAAAAAATTAGAAAAATTTTTTTTTTTAATTTTGAATTTTTCTCAAAAATTCAAATTTCGCGCCCGAAATATTTTAAATTCAAAATTTCAAATTCTCTCACCATGATACTGTTGATTATCGTGCTTATCCTCCCCACAATCGAAAATCGACCGGCAACAGAAGTACGCTCCAATGCAACACCCACAGCAGAGAAGGAGAAGGATCAGGATGACGCTGCAAAATTTCAAATTTTCAAAAATCTCGAATTACAGAGATCTGGCGGGAATTCAAAAAATTCAAAACAAAAAATTTTTTTTCGTTGTTTTTCGGTTAGGACGGGGTCTGAAAATGTTAGTGAACACATGCAAAAATGGTGAAAAATCGGCAAATTGAATTTTAAAGATCCGGCGCGAATTCAAAAATTTGAAAATTTCGAAAAAATTTCAAATTTCGCGGGTTAGTAAAGTGATGGAAAATTCTGGAAAAAAACACCAAAAAAACACAAAAAAACACTATTAAAATTGGTCCTGAAGGCCTGCATTTCCGTAGTTCCTGAATTTTTAGAAATTTAGAAAAAATTTTTGAAAAAATTTCAAATTTATTTACAATCATCGTTTTTTTTGCTGCAATTTCAGACGACGGACAATGTGATTTAAGATAAAGACGAAGGACAAAGAAACAAAAACGGAATGTGTGTTTTTTTTCAGAAAATTGAAAAATTAAATTTTTTTGAGAAATCCGACACCATTTTTCCAAATTTTGAGACTTTCAGAGCGATTTTCAAGAGTTTTGAACATTAAAAACGGCACTTTTAGGGTCGGAAACCCCTAAAAATGACAAATTTTCGAATTTTTAGGTCATGGCCTAGAAATCCAAAAATTTGGATTTCTAGGCCATCAACCTGAAATTAGCGACTTTTTTGGGTTTTGAATATTTTTGTGCTTTTTAGACATCGAAAAATGGCATTTTTGGGGTCGGAAACCCCTAAAAATGACAAATTTTCGAATTTTTGGAACATGGCCTAGAAATCCAAAAATTTGGATTTCTAGGCCACCGATGAAAAAACCACGGGTTTTAGTAATTTATATAATTTTTATGCGTTTTAGACATCAAAAAACGGAAAAATTTCGAAGTTTTAGATGGTGGCCTAGAAATCCAAATTTTCTAGGCCACCAAACCCAGAAATTTGAAATTTTTTTTACTTTAAACTTCTCTAAACTCTAAAAAACCTATTTCAGTTTGAAAAACTGCTCAAAAACATCAAAACCAGCCATTTTTTGAAAGGGGACTAGAAATCCCAAAATTCTAGGCCACGGTGGGCAAAAGTGGTTTACAGGCATTTCTGGACCGGAGAAAGTGGTTCCAAGGGGTTTTCGACCTCAAAAATGCCATTTTTAACCTCTAAAACCTTCAAAAATCACTCTAAAAGTCGAATTTTCGCGTGGAAATTCAAAGAACCAAAAGTGAAAACATGTACATGAGTGCGACTGTTCCGGCCGTGGATCCTCCATGACTTCCGGCCGAATTTTGATTATTTTGAGCCGGTGGTGCGGGGCAACAGTCCGTTCCACAGCAAACTTCACGCCCCTGCTTACAGGACCACACGATTTGTTTCGGACGGGATCCATCGGCGTATTGGATCTGAAAAAAATGGAAAATGTCAACTGAAAATCGATAAAAAAAAGGGCTTAAGATGCTTAAAAACGCTGAAAAATGCAAAAATTTGAGATAAAAAGGCACTTTGGTCGTTGGTGGCCTAGAAATCCAAATTTCTAGGTAACCAACTCGAAAGTTACAATTTTCGGTAGTACGGACTGATTTTTGACACTTTTTCATGTCAAAAACGGCATTTTTGTGGCCGGAAACCTCGGAAATGGGCAAACTTTGAAAATTTTCTTTCGTGGCCTAGAAACCCAAAATTTCAGATTTCTAGGCCACCACCTAAAAATTCAAAATTTTGTCATCTCTAGGTATTTTCGACCTCAAAAATGCCATTTTTGACGTCCAAAACCCTTAAAACCCCTTCAAAACTCATGAAAATTGTTAATTTGACTTTGATGGCCTAGAAACCCACATTTTCAGAATTCTAGGCCACCAACTTCGGAAATGGGATATCTCGCTATTTTATAGGCCAAAAAAGTTGATTTCAGCTAAAAATCAGCTCAAAAACACTGAAAACAGCCAATTTTCAAAGGGGGACTAGAAATCCCAAAATTCTAGGCCATGGGTGGCAAAACTTGTTTTTAGGCATTTCTGGACCGGAGAAAGTGGTTCTAGGGTGTTTCGGGGGTGAAAAATGCCGTTTTTGACGTTAACAGGTGCCAAAAATCAGCCCTTACTGCCGAAAATTGAAACTTTAAAGTTGGTGGCCTAGAAATCCGGAATTCTAGGCCACCGGGTAATTTTTGCTCGATTTTCTCTTTTTTTTTTCTCTCTAAAACCTCTAAAAACGCCAAAAATTCTCACATTATTCAAAACTTGATCTGGTGTTGGGGTGGTGCTGGAAACTGCTGGGGTTACTGTAGTTGAGCCATCTGGAGAGGCAGTCGTCGTTGTGGTGGAGGTTGTGGAAGTTGTCGATTGCTGGAAAATCGATTTTAGGACGATTTGAAGCGAAAAAAAAAATCAAATTTTCTTGGTGCCTCTCNAATAAAATTTTGAAGTTGAGCCAATTTTTCGTTTTTTTTGTGTGATTTTTAGTTCCTTGAGTCACCTGACGAGCTATCGAGAGAGAGAGAGAGACGCAGACATTTGAATTGGGACCACTTGTTCCGGTGGTCCCCTCCCCTGGTCTCCATGGTGTTGTTGACCCCCCCCCCCCTTCGTTTGGTTTCATCATATTTTTTTCAAAATTTGTCATTTTTGATTCGAAATTCTGTTAAAATGGCCTAAAAATGCGGATTTCTAGGCCACACCGACGCTAGGTCATTGGCTTTGGATCATTTT